GACCCAATACAGGCACTTGGGGCACTTCCCCAAGTCTGGGGGCAAAAAGTAAAGTCTCCCTTAGTCCGTAGACCTAAGGGGTCTCTTAGGCATAATTTAGACCCACCCCTCAATAAGTCTCCCACACCAGTCAAAAAGGAGAACTTTATTGATTACAAGGGGTAGGGTAAACTATGGTACAGGATTGAGCAGCAATATCTTAGAAATCCTAAAGAGCAAAGTCTGGCTGAGGTAGCCTTTTGATAACGCATCTAAATTACTGCCAGCTAGATATCTATCAGATCTCGAGTAGCTTACTCGCACGCTTCTTCCAGAGGCTGATGAGATCGTTTCTAGCATCCGGCTGTTCCTTGTTCATGAGTTTTTGGGGGAAAGGGCCCTTTCCAATGTTTATGCTCCTCTGAGTCCCCGCCTCATGGCTGAAGAGCCCGCCTTCCTCCCCCTCCTAACTTTTATATAGCCCCTGTGACCTCATTCACCTGGGCCAGTGGAGGTCAGCCCCAGTTGGCTGTCAGCCAACTAATTGAAATACATCACCTGTTACTGGGCACATTCCAGCTCCCCAGGTAGAAACCCCTTACCCAGGTAAGTGATGCAAGTCCCGTAGGCAGAGGGAGCAGGTTTCCCCCCTCCCTCAGGAATGCAGCCAGCTCAAGTTACCTAAAGAGAGGGTAAGGGTGTGGTCTCCTCTGCTGGGCCCACCTTAATCAAATGGTCACAGCACAAAGATTTGGTCACAGTGTCACAGGGCAGAGATTTTTGGGGAGAAACCAAGGTGGCTTTCTGCCACAATGTCTATTCTCTTGAAGGCCTCAGTTATCGTTGTGGGTGGAAGTACACTGGCTTTCATGGTGCCTCATTTCCCATGCCCTCCAGTACTTTTCATGTTAAGCTTTGTCTCCATGTTGTAGGGTGAGCATTGTCAGAATGGAAAGTTCATAAGAAATGTGGTGTCATGCTGACATCAGTCCTTATGGCATTTCTCATGGGCCAGCCCTGTAGGATTTTCATACAAAACTTAAATTGATGGCGTTTTCTTTTGGTAAGTGCGTGGTGGAAGTTACACAACAGTAACCAGGAAAGTTAATGAATGGTAGGAGAGCAATAAAAGTATTGTTTTCCATTGTCCAGGGACAATGCAGATAGCTGGGCAACGTTTTAAAAACTTACAGCAGTCATTTGTTTCCAGCATTTTGTACGTGCGGAGGACGGAGTCTGAAAACAGCCCCAAAGACAGGGTGTGGCATTTCAATCAAACTTGTAGATGCATGTGAAGGGAAGGGGGTGTTCCTCTTGCTCATAAGCACATTTCAACCCTGGGCTGGATATTAGTACGGTTTTTGAGCACTTGGCTCGAGTACGTGTAGGTGGTTTTAATGCACGTTCTACAGAACTTGTACATGGGTGTCTGGAAATGCTTTAAATAAGCAATTCATTTAAAGCTTAAGGTTTCAATCGGAGGTCTTAATTGGTTCTAAAGCACTGTCTGGTATATTGTGTAAATTTGGTTTTAATATTTTTTCAGTAGTAAAGCATGTTTAAAATCTTATGCGCTCCTTGGTAAGAGAGCCCCTCAAGCATCAGCTCCTTTCCTGCTTCCCCCAGTCCTACACCTTCCTTGCCGGATGTCACCTGGGGCTACCAGCAGTAGCTTTGGGAACCACTGTTCACCCTTGCTGACACTTTGAAAAAAGAAACCTCTTTGCTTTTATATTCTATTTCATGGAGAATCGTTGGGTGTCTTGATGGTAGTTTGTGTTGCAGGCAGGTGGAGCATATCTCTCGTTTCTCTTCTGCCCCTAGGGAGCTATTGTTGGGAGCACTGGACTGTCACATCAGAAGAGAAGGGTCTTGTCTGGAGGATTTTCAGTCTAAATCATGCCTAGTTTAAGTCTAGAGTCAAGATCTCTTAAGACTGAAGAGCTTTTTGGAAGGGAGGTTGGGTATGGAGGGAATGGGGCAGGAGACATGCATAGTTACACAGCTGTGCATGCATGTAGAACTAGCAAATCTAATCTTTGCTTTAAAAGAAAAGATTTAGCCAGAGAGAGTAATCTCTGCTTAAGCCTGCTGTGATCACATCCTGTTGACCTGGACCATAATCATGTGGTGAAAATGTGCAAAAATACAATCCTAGAGAAAGAGGGCTGGAAGGGACCTCCAGAGGTCGCATCTAGTCCAATCCCTTGCTTGAAGCAAGATCATCCCTATCCTAACCATCCCAGGCAAACCATAATTTAAATGTTACATAAGAGTGCCATCAGCCCTGTTGCGACACAGACCTAATGCTCAAACTTGCAAAAATCCAGGGGAGCCACAAATTCCAGGGGGAAATCTAGGGGAGCCACAGCAGCCAATGTCATGTTTGTGGCTTATTTTCTTGCCCTCCCTTCTGTAGTTTCCCAGCTCTGGATTGGATTTGCAACGTGACTGAGAAATGGTGAAGTCAGTTCTTTACATCAGTGTTAAAGTTGGTGAAAAATGCCAGATCGGCAGTACTAGAGGCTAAATTTCCAACCATATCCAAGCACAGTTAGTAGCAGGTTCTAGCTGTGCACCTCACCTCTCTGCGGCTATTTTAGTCATCCTGGTTTGATGCATTTTCCACCTCTTTGCTGAATGATTAACAAAAGAGCCCAGTGATTCTAGTTGGCTTCTTCGAGAAGGGAAGAAGCAGAATGGTAGATGTAGCATAAATCCAAACTTTATCAGGTAGCACTAGCTTGAAGAAATAAACCTTTATACAGTATTTATTGAAGTTTGAATACACACGAAATCCTCCAAGTCCCTTCCATATTGCGTAGCTGAATTGATGTACAGTATGCTGTTATTGCCGCCACCGGTTCTGTCCATTTTATGTTAATCGTTTCCTTTTTCAATTTGGTGTCTTGGTAGGTGCCTGGCGCTCAGGACTTGGTGGACTTCTCCCCCGTGCACCGATGCTTGCACATATATTCTGTACTGGTAAGTCCACACAGCGCAGTGTGTTAGTGGCACTGAAGTGTGACTTGGCTTTCAATGGTGTGGGTAGGGAGCAGCTCCACATCAACATGCTTGGGGAAAAAGTAGTTGCATAATGTGTATTAATACGTGGGTGTTTTTAATATACACCGTGATAGAAAATGGATTGCTTTCTCAAATTAGAAGCATGCGATTAAGGGGAAATAAGGCAATACCTGGAAGGCTGTAGTGGAGGAAGGGTTTTGAATGAAAAGCAAGCTTCTAATTTATATTAGCAGACCACAAAGTTATAAAGTGAAACTTTCTCCTACCCTTGCAGTTCCTGGGTTTCTAGTGAGCTAGATAGATATTTCTGAATCACATTATTTCCCTAAAAGAGTTCTCCATTAACCAGAATAACTGTTGTAATCTGTGCAAAGCAATGTATTGAGTAAGCATGAAAGAGCAACTTCTGGCCGTTTCATAGTTTCTAGGGTCGGAAGGAACTTGAGCAGATCATCTAGTCCGACCCCCTACCATGGCAGGAAGAGCACTGGGGTCAAATGACCCCAGTAAGGTGGTCATCCAACCTCCTCTTAAAAACCCCCAGGGTGGGAGCCTGCA